CAAAGAAAATTTAATTTAATGAAGCACAAGGGGTGCTCCTGCCCATATACAAAAATGGTAACCACAATAGAGGAGAGCCAATCTCCTAAAAACCAGCAACTGATACAGCTTACTAATCACAAACAAAAAGCCACAGGTGCCCACATACTACATATTGGAAACAAAACAGACCCGCCTAGCCATCATCTCAGGGGCACGCAAGCTTTATAGACCTGCTTCCTCAACCTTTTATGGTTTTTGACAGACATAGCACACTCCATTGGGTAAGTCTGCCATTCGTAAAAAGAGAAACCACAGCCATTGACTTTGGATTTAATCCATATAAATGTTTTAACTTGCATCCTTTCCATCAGGTTCTCTGGCAAACCTTCATCTTTTCGAAACACTTGAACATTCCGTCTATACCATAGATACCAGGCGACCATTAGGAAAATACATGAACCCATCTCTTTTCCAACTAATCTACCCAAACTTCCAATGAAAAACTCTGCCATTCCCCTTACTGTATTAGGTAAAACAAACTCCAAACCCCACCACCTCAACACCTGAGTCCAAACTAACCATGCATTATAACACAAACAAAACAAATGGTTAACTTCCTCCACCTTCCCCTTACAGAATTTGCAGAGTACCCCCTCCTGTAACACTATCCCACGTTTTTGCAAGTTATCCTTTGTTGGGAGTCTATCTAAGCACAAACGCCACCCAAAAAAAGCCACTTTGGATGGCACCAATCTACACCATATTAGTTTACACATCTGGTCCTCCAAGACACCCTTCGAAGTAGCTAGAAAATCATACGCTATCTTCACCCCATATTTGCCATCCATCACATGTATCCACTTCCAAACATCCCCTGCCCCCTCCTTTAGTTTGACACCCTCCAGCACCTTCTCCAACAGCACCTCCTCATCTTTCTCTCTCCCTATTGTACCCCTCCTCCACTCCATCCTCCACCACCATCTACCCTTTTCCCAAATCCCCATCTCAAAAACCTTTCCATCCTTCTTCACAGAAAGTGCAAATAACCTAGGGAACAAATCCCTAAGACTTTTAACACCAATCCACCTATCAGACCAAAAACCCACTCTATTTCCTTCACCCACCTCCCACTTGAAACCCTCAGCCAATATATTCCTAAGTTTGAGAGATCGACCCCCAATCCGAATAATGTCCCTCCAAATCTTGGACACCTTTAAACACTCAATCGTAGTAATATCGACCTCCCTCCTACCCCCATAATATTTCTCCTTCACCACCCTTTTCCATAAACTCTCGACCCCGTCACCAAACCTATACCACCATTTTCCTAACATAGCCCAATTTTTATTCTGTAAGTCAGGCACCCCGAGCCCCCTCTTCGCCTTAGCTCGACATACGTATTCCCATTTAACCCATGGAATTTTCTTATTTAGTTCTGCCCCGCCCCATAAGAACCTCCTTTGAATTCTAATCAACTCCTCAATCACAGAATTAGGTAATAAATATAAAGACATATAAAAAATAGGTAGAGCAGAGAGTACCGAATTTAGCAAGACGAGGCGGCCTTCAAAGGAAAGAGTAGTAGCCTTCCAGACAGTGAGTTTGGTACGGAATTTGTTTACAACCAGCTCCCAATATTTCTTGTTCCCAGATTTACCGTCAACGGGCAATCCTAGATAAAGAAACGGTGCTCGACCAACCCTGCATTGTATCATACCCGCTGATCCTTTTAGCCATTTCTCCGACACATTATAACCAAAAATGCTGCTCTTGCTGAAATTGATCCTCAAGCCCGACATAAGCACAAACCATTTTAGGATGTCCTCCACCGTACGTATATTCTCAGCATCCGCTCTGCCCATGATGATTGTATCATCAGCAAACTGGAGCAGCGACACGGACAGGCCTTTCTTTCCAATCTCAATCCCATTCAACATTCCCTCCTTTACTGCTCTCTGTACCAGACCTTGTAACCCCTCTGCAACCATCAAAAAGAGGAAAGGAGATAAAGGATCACCTTGTCTCAACCCTTTACCCACCTCAAATTCCCTTGTCGGGCTTCTGTTTACCAGAACCGAGATTCTCGCCGTTGAAAGGCACTCCTTAATCCAGCCTCTCCATTTTGTTTCAAATCCAAAACTCTCCATCATCCAATCCAAAAAGGACCAATCTACGCAATCATAAGCCTTTTCGAAATCTGCTTTAAACACAAAGGCTGGTTGTTTCTTCTTCTTTATTTCATCCACAACTTCATTCAGCACCAAGACACTATCCACCAACTGTCGGCCCCGCACAAAAGCAGATTGCGTTTCACTCACTATTTCTGATATTACTGATTTCAATCTATTAGCCAGCACCTTCGCTAATAATTTATAGACACATCCTATCAAGCTAATGGGTCTATAATCCTTTAATTCTACTACATTCAACTTTTTAGGAATCATGGTTAAAAAAGAAGAGTTTAGACCCTTCACCAATTTACCATTACAGTGGAATTCCGTAAAGAAGTTGATGAAGTCCTCCTTTATGTAGTGCCACGCATATTTAAGAAAGTTAAAGTTGTAACCATCAGGTCTTGGAGCCTTTGAACCTTCACAGCTCCTTAAGCCTTCCTCTATTTCTTCAACTGAAAAAGGTCTTTCCAGCCAATCTTTTTTCTCCTCGGATAGCTGCTGGAATTTAATATCCCCAGGCTTTGGTCTATTCCATGCCTCTCCTTGAAATAATCTTCTGAAGTATTTGACGATCTCATTTTTAACTAAAATTGGATCATCAATCCATGCCCCATCACACATTAAACCCGCAATATTGTTTTGTGCTCTTCTTCCTTTTGCAACTCTATGAAAAAAGCGGGTATTTGCGTCTCCCTCATGCACCCATTTACTTCTTGACTTCTGCTTCCAGATAAGTTCCCTCTTTCTCAAAACATCCCACATCTCTGCAAAACCCTCTTGCCTTTTCACAATCTCAGAATCTTCCAGGTCTGATATTTCGTTCTGCATATCCACTTGCTCAATCTTTTCTACATCTTGTTCATATTGAGCTTCCATGTTCCCAAAAACATCCTTGTTCCAGCCTTTTAAAAAACCTTTTAGCAATCTCAACTTTTGCTGGCATTTATACCCTGCAAAACCCTCCACCATCATCTCACTCCATTTATCTTCTACAAACTTCTTAAAATCTGGATGTTGTTGCCATGCATCCAAAACCCGAAAAGGTCTTGGTCCCCTATCTGTTGTTCTGGACTTCAACACGATAGCACAATGATCAGAGATATTCCTTGGCAATCCTTGTTGTATCCACTCTCCTTCCACATTACTCATCTCCGTACTCAATAGGAATCTGTCCAATCTACTCTTTGCTGTGCCGTCTGGCTTGTACCATGTATACCTTTTATTCGACAACTTGACATCCACCAAATCTGTTGTCACAATAAACTCATCAAAATCCTTCATATTTGGGCTCTCCCCTGTTCTTCCTTGTCTCTCCTCAGGACCTCTGACTGCATTAAAGTCCCCTGCTATCAACCAACACCCTTCCTTGTCTGTCACCATTTTCCTCAAAACCTCCCACAAACTAGCCTTCTTCTGTCTATCAATTGGCCCATACACGTTAATTAAAAAATACTGCTTTTTATTTGCTCCCCATTCCCCTGCAAATCCCACAAATCCATCACCAGTAAAAACTTCCCTCTTAACAAACTGTCTCATATCCCACATACATAGTAAACCCCCTGAAGCTCCGGAAGATCCCTTCACCACCCAATCGAACTCATCTGAATTCCACAACTGTCTACAGATACCTACATCCACATTTTCTAACTTTGTTTCCTGCAAGAACAGAAAATCAAGCTTCTCTACTTGAACCAGCCTTCTCACTTCCTTTTTCTTCACCGACCCACCCAAACCCCTTACATTAAAGGATATAAATTTCATTAATCAATTCTAATCACACACAGCTCCATTCATCACAAATCCGCCCTTACCTCTCTACCGTGTCCCTCCTCTCTGCCCCATCTCGATCTATTGCCTCTAGTAGCTTTGATTGAATCTCCTCCTCATTTTTATCAAAAATAAAACCCAATCTCTTCCTTACCCCCATCAGCCGGCGCACCTCATGCATATTCATCTCCATCCGCAACACCCTATTTCTATTTTCAATACACCTATCTGAAATTGATACAGTAGCAGCGATGTGTACCTTGTCATCTCCGGCTTGGCAAGTTTCCGCTCTTCGTGCCTGTCGCTGCCTTGTTCTGGGTGTTACCCACGTTGCTCCTTTTGCCCAGATCTCCTCCTTGGTCTCTGGGTAACATTTTTGAAGAAGTCTTTGTTTTTTGCTTTCCTTTTTTGTGATTTTCGATTTCTGCAATGCCGCTAGGTTTACTGAAATTTGTGCATTTAAAATGGTGTCCTTCATGTTTGTTTCTTTTGTCTGACCCCAGCCCATCCTATTGTTCGGCCCACTGCCTTCTACTGGCCCAACAGAACTCTCTTTTTGTGGCTCACTCTCCTTGGACAGCCCAACGTTTTCATCCTCTTCCAGATCTGTCTCTTGCACAGTTTGAATACATCCCTCCGTTTTTGTTACACTCTTCATATTTGAATTTGACACCGTATCCTTCATTAAATGCTTTGAACCATTACTTACATCCTCACCGTCGCCAATCACATCCATAGCCATTTCCGGATCCTCGTTCTGACACCATGAGATTGAGTAATCGGACTCCGATTCCAGGTCGTTTTTCCAGTCATTCTCCGATAGCCACCAGTCTGGGTCAGAGCGCCACTCCTCTTCAGCTATCTCTATCTCAAACACCTGCTCTCCTACCTTCAACTTAACTTGTTTTGCAATTTTACTCGCCTCCGAGCATAGGATCAAAACTCTCCCATCCCATAATATTGCTTTCTTCTTTGTGTCCTCGTGAACCAGTAAAACTTCTCCGATTGACTCCCCTATCATCTGAAAACACCTCTCTCCCCATGCCTTTAAAGGCACTCCCGATATGCGCACCCACATCATACGGCTTATCTCCTCTGGTGCCTTCTCCCATGGAGCTATAGACTCAAACCACGTACCAAACATCTCTTCATTGTGCTTCATGTAATCAGCTAAGCACCCTGCAACTTTCTCAGTTAAAAGTACTCGTCTTCCCCCCATTGGTGATAGCAAGATTGAGCCCCCGTCTGCGTCCAATTGCTCTTGGATCTCTGATACCAGCGCCATTGACCTCACCACTGCGACCAAGCCGCCTTCAAGCCATTTCAGCTCATCACCCGTCGGAATGTACTCGATAGTCCTCTCTATTTTTTCTCCATCCTTATTCACCTGTACCCTTGTATTTTCTCCATCCTTATTCACTTGTACCCTTGTTTTGCCCTTTTCCTTTTTTGGGATTTCTTTTGTTTCCTTTTCCTGTGATTGTTTTGAAGCCTTATCTGCTCCCTTTCCTCGGCCCTTCACTGCTTGTACATAAGAGTGCCCTGGTTGAACCAACCTGTTCATGATGCTTGTTGAACCACTGCCTTTAATCGCGCCTTGCACCTTCCTGGACGATGCTGGTTTCCTTTGTCTGTCACTTGCAATCTTCACTCTCATCTTATACGAGCCAATCCATATCTCATTTAGCCTCCTCTCCATTTGCATCTCATTCTTGACCCCTGTTAGTCGCACAAAACCATACCTCTTTCCTCCCTTATCGCGCTTTCTCGGAATATACACATTGACGACCTTGCCGTACATCTGAAAACTGTTCCATAGAAATTTTGCCTTTAATTCCTTTGGGAAGTTATAAAAGAAGAAGGTCGATGCCCATCCGGAAAACTGTGAACTGTAACCTGCAAACTTGTTCCTGAATCCTTGCTGCTGTCTGTAGCCACTGTCTTTCCTGGCTGCCGCGCTCCTTGCGAAAACCCGAGTGCTCTCCATTTTTGTTGTAAAGAACTCCTAGCTGGCCAAAAAAAAAAAAACACTCCTCAATTCTGAGGTCCTATTCCAAGACTTAAAATTTAAATATTTATTTAAACTTTCAAACTCAACGAAGTAGGAGTATAAAAGGCATTACATTTTATTAGTAAACATATATTTTTTTTTATTTTGTAACTTTAATTCAAAATCTTTTACTCTTGTTAAAAAAAATTATTATTGACTTATTTAAATTATTAATGATAAACACCTCTATTTATTTGCAATCTTTTTTTTTATGACCATCAATCTTAATTAATTTATAATCAATAACATTAACAACTAAATCTCTACGTGTTTTAAGCATCAATTTAAATGGTGATAACATTATAATTACAATGCTACATATGAGTTATTTGGTATAATGATTTAAAATTAACAATTAACAATTTTATCTAATTTAATAGTAAATAATTATTATTATTAATAATTTAAACATTTTTATTCATTGAATTAAATGAAACTACTATATTAAATAGTCTTATAAAATTATAAATTTACAATTATGATGTGTTAGTGTGTCATTAAATAAATATATATATAATATTACATGTAAACTCTAATTAAAAAGAGTTTATTATATATCGAAATATAATATTTTATAACTATTAGCGGGACTCAAGTTTCCACTTCCTGAGTTGCTGATAGGTTTGTTGTTAGATTACAACATAGGGTTGACACAGTTGGTTCCCAA